AATGTTGTTCGAGAGTTATCTTCAGCCCTTGGCAGCTACATTAGCCGCATCAACTACGGTCATCATATTCAATGCAGTCATGTAAATGGCATAATGCGCTAGGGAAGTGCATCACATTCAAGTCGCTAGACAGAGAATCGAGACGCCGAGTGCGCATTCATTTTTCCCATGTAAACAGAGTTTGCGTCGCATTCTGGAACAAGAAGGATTGTGAGAAGGCGCTCGCCACGGGAGTAAGCCAATAGCTGAAAACATGGCGGCGGTGGAGAGCGGTTGAGTGTGGTCGCCCGCAGTTATCTGCCAAGAAACGAGAGCTTTTATTGCCATCATAAGCAAGCGGAATATAGCCAAGCTCCTTGGTAAAGGCGGCCCCCATCCATGCCTCACGAAGTGCAACTTGAGGCTTTGGCGCAAGCACGAACGACGCCGAGAGCCCCGAACACTGGTACCGCAGAACGAGCGGCTCCTACCTCGGTGCCATTCCCGCCTGCGCTGTGACCTCTCCGCCTCGGGGTCCAGTTGTTTTGGCGCGATCTGGCAAGGCAAAGCGTGGCAGCGTCATCCGAGCAGTCGGAAACGATCTCGCTCGCCGGGACGTTCGTGCCCACGTCGCCTCTGTTCTGGAATGGCCCACCCGGAGTCTGAGGCACTTGGGTTTCCTTATTCTTGTGTCTCGTAACTTCTTGTGCAGCACCAAAGACAGCGGGCACAATCTTATGCTTGTCAAAAGGGGCCTCTGTGCGCGAAGCGCCGGAAAACGTGACGTGGGGCAGCCAGTGCCGGAAACACAGCTTTAATTCTGAGATGTGACTTTGCATGGCACAACCTTCGCGTAGGACTTGATGCGCAACCATGTACACATTGACGCGTTGACCTCGTTCTAAAGACGACTGAAGTCGATGCACTCAAGCCACGTTTACATAAATGCGGCCATTGTTTTGAACACTGTAAACTAAATGAGTATTTCAAAAGGTGGGGAATTTCTTGCCTTTGAAAACCAACTGTGATATGACAGTTTCCTCGTGGTATGGCGCATATCTGTGCCTTCCATAATTTTTCGGAAAACTTAGCACCCCCAATTCCCAATTTGTGGTTGCCATGACACTGAGGCACGCAGAATTTGTTCGACATGTCAACACTGACACTGCAACATAGCGAGGACACCCGGGAACATGTGCAAATACAGTATAGACCACTTACAACGTAACCGCTTATAGTGCAGGACCGGGTATAACGCGGCTTTTTTAAACCACCGGTTCGCCTCCCATAGAACTCCATGTAATTACATACCGCTTAAGATGCAGGCGCGCGAAGGGAAATACCGGTTATAGTGCAATTTCAGGAACAGCCCGCCGACCGCGCCGACCAACTGGCGCAGCGAGCACACTTCCCTGTGCAACACTAGATAACAGCGCTAGCTGCAAGCGGCACTCGCGGGGGCAAGGATGGCAAGGAGGCTGCTCGAAGAAGCGGGGAAAAGCGAAGACAAAGGCTTCAGTCGCTTCAGTTGCCATAGCGACGGAGGGACGCACGCACGTGTCGTTCACGGCGCAAGGCGTTAGAGCGAGCCCAACCAGCCCAACTTTCCCAACCGCAATGACAGACCAATCGCAGGTCGAGGAGAAGTGTTCGCGCGCGTTGCATGCCGGTTGCCGGTCGTGGGCCGGCTTCTTCTACCTGCAAACATGGCGTCGGTGGTGATCGTCGATGTGAAAGTAACGTTGGTCGACGTAGATGGCGTGGTGGAAGCTCATCGTTCCACGTAAAAGCGCTATCCTCGACTGTGAATTTTCGTTGTGTGTCGCTATGATAACCCAGCACGTACTAGAAGGGAAGATCCACCTACTCGTGCAGCGATGTCGTGGCGGCACTCTCAAGACAGCAGAAACGCCCGTGTTTGTTTACTTCAACTACAGTGGTGCTTTCTAAGCATTTGTGTTTTCGAACATCGCCCGGATTTCTTATTTGGAGCATTTCATGCCTGTGCTCAAGTTGAAGGTATTACTGGCGCGTACCGTATAAAGGATGCGAATTTTCACACGTGTTCATCACCGGAGAAAAGTGATTAGTAGGGGTGTGCGAATACTCGAATATACGAATTCAAATCGAATAGAAAGTTCCCGAATATTTAGATTCGCGAATCGAATTTCGAGTATTCGGTCACTCGAATACTAGAAATACAAAAAAGCCGTTTTTTTTCTCCCGATGTAAGCGCCGTGATGTTAGACAGACTATGGGAAAAATAGCTCTTAATCCAACCATTCCACAAAAATCTAACGCACAGGTTAGAAAAAAGAAAAGTAACGAACGCCACAAACTTTATAGCACATAGATTTACTGACGATCGTGACACAATCTACACTTGAATCACAACCAAACATTCCGTTTGCGCCGCTTCCAGAGAGGAATTGTTGGGAGGCCGAAATCGCGCGCCATGCCTAATTCTTTTCACGAGTAAAGCCCCTCGTTTCAAATTGAAGCACCGATGTAAAATACACTTGGCCGCACACACAGAAATTGGTGACTGCACGATCACAGAAAGAAAACCACGTTAACCATGCCGATGAAACCAGCCGAGTTATCATAGTCGTTCTTTTGCAACCGCAAGCCGCAAACGCCGCAAATTCTGATTTGGAACGAAACGGAACGGAAAAATAGTGTGCCTAGATTTGAGAGGGTTTCCAACCGTTCGATAGCCGCATTTGAATTACGAACTGCGAGAAGGTGACGAAAGCGTCGACTGGGATCGGGCAGGCAGGGCACGGAGGGTAGGCGTCGTTGCCCTTCTGTTTGCTCACCTTTCTCCACGCTACTACACAACACATGTGCACTTACGACCAATCTGCACTGGAGCCGTCTCCATGGTTTCAGTTGGGTTTCAGTTTCGCTTGCTCCCTCTTTTAAATCAAAGCTCTCTAAAACAGGATAGATAGACGGAAAAATGGATGCAAAGCGGCAGTTGGACGGTGTCTTGCGCCGCCTATCCACGTTTCTTTTTACTTCAGATTATATTGTTTAAGTCTGTTTACTCAGATTTAACACCTATCCGTTTATTTATGTGAAATTAAATCCCAAGTGCCCTTCTTCTTCCTTAAAATGTAAACCAAATATCGCAAAATGCCCCTTTTTTGAGATATACAAATATTTATTAAAAAAAAGTCACGGTGTTAGGTTGTGCTTTTAAAAAGAAGGCATGCGTGGCTGTAACTGGTTTTTTTGTGACGTTTAGGGTGGATAGATTATATTTGTGCCATAAAATTGGATCTTTAGTGCCCAACATCCAACAGCAACTGCTTTTATTTATTTTTTTTCACCAGAATTTTTTTTACATTTTAGCTTTTGTTTTGTACAAGATACATATTCTGCAACAGGCGCATACTCTGCATATATAATGATCTCACTCGCAGCATACTTTGAAAAATTCCTACAAATAAAATCACTATTCGATATTCGGCTTTTTTTCCTTGATTCGATTCGCTATTCGATTCGAAAACTACTATTCGGTATTCGCACACCCCTAGTGATTAGGGTTAGCAATCCTAAACACTCGCAACGTCCTCCCACGACCCGCGATGCCGTTAAAAAGCTGTGCCATGCAAAAGTCACTCATTTCTTTCAAAATGTGACACACTTGAGAGAGAAGTGCACTAGTCTGGTGAAATAAAGACTTTTCTCAAACTAAGCTTTATTTTTTATCTAATATAAAATAAATTGTTTCACAAAGGTAAGTTGTCTCATGGCATGCATTTTGGCCTGAAAAACTGATGTTTTGGTTACAGAACGGTACCGCTTATAGTGCGGATTTTCGCGACTCCCGCGACATACCTTATATGCGGTCTACACTGTAGAACAAACGGCCATAACAAGAGCACAGACTACATCTGCATGCTCACTACGAGAAAATGCAACTAGCAATTCACGTCTACACAGGCCATGGCACGATGAGACACAATTCTGGGCAATCATTGTGATGCTGGTGCTCTATGACCCGTTATGGTATGCTGGTATGCTGGCACCATCTGTGCGATGAGCCTGGAACTGCATTTCACTACAGCGAAGGTTTGGTGCAACCTTCGAGATCAAATCTATGTACACAATCTATGAGAAAAAGTTGTTTATAACGTTGTCAAAAGATTTCCGAGGCAAAAAGGAAAAAACATGATGCCTGAAAACATAGAAAATATGCAGAAACTGAGCGTTGCATGGCTGTCCCACAAAAAGTGCCAGCGAGTTCTCTCGTCCTGGACAATATTTAAGATGTTACGGGCGGACGATTGTAAGCCGTTGCATGTGTGTGAACTAGCCACTCATGTTTCGGGAACCTCCTCTGGATCAGCAGAAGGGGTGTATTCGACGGTTACAATGACAAAAGGGTAGATGAAGGAAACTCAACAAATGGGAACAAACTTTGAAGCTCTCAGACGAAGAATAACCAACCTCACTGATTCGGTGCACATGGTTTGGTCCATTTAACCTTGTAAAACAACCAGCATAAAAAAAAATTCGGCAGGGACATTTAAAGATTGCTTATGTGTAAGAATGCAAAAGCATTCCTACATACAGCGCATTCCTACGAGCAGCGCGCCACGTCTTTCTTTTCTGCAAGGCGCTCTGGCGGTGACAAGACGCTCCCCCACTGCACAGGCGCAGCGAACCCCGCATGGTTCGCGCCGGCTTCTGTGACTAGACATCTGCGCCGTTGTGCTTTTCCTTGTGTTTTTACTTTTGGGGCACGTCCCTTTAACCTTGAGTGCTTCCGCCAACTAGTGTGACAAAGCATCGCGTTGCTGTGCTTTTCTTTGTGTTTTTTTTTCTGAGGCACGTGCTTGATAACATATTTTTATGACCATCTTTTGGGCACAACGCCAATGCTTTTTCACGCAATAACACAAGTAAGGCTTTCACCTTAAAAAAAAAAAAGTTCCTTGGTTTGATTTATGGGCAAGGGCTTTGGGGATGCCAAGAAGGCCTTCAGAGACACCAAACGCTACGTAGACCCCTATTTGAGAACCACCGCTTTAATCCACACATGCATGGCTTGCACTAACATAACATCGCATACGTATGACCACTATGAAAGAGAGAGAGAGAGAGAGAGGAAAGCTGCTTTTGTAGGAATTTTGAGCGATGGGTTAATTTTCTCTAATCTTCTGGGAGGAGATAGCGACATCGGGGCAAATGTGGGAGACACAAAAGAGGGTCCTGCTTGGAGGGGAGCTCCTTTTTCACCTCCTCTTCGGTGGCGGTCGGAGTGCTCTTTGGATGACGTCACAGGCAAGCCATAACGCAGCCAATTTCCTGCTGAGGATCAACAAGCCACCTTTCCCTCGTGACAGCATCATATAGACTTTCTTTCGGCTAACGCAAACTTCAAGCGTGACTCTCGAGACACTAATTTATATGTGAAGTCTTCGCTATATATGTGCCTTACACATATGTGTAAGAACATCCACTTGTTCGTAACCACAGCCTACAAGGGTAATCCTGTCTGACGGAATCGCCACATTGTTTGTAAGTTCCTTGTGACATGTGACGTCCACACTCCTATTTCAACGCATGCAGACCAAAAAGAGGGCAGTCCTAGCAGAGAATACATCGATGCAATGCACATACGCCCAATGCCTATTCAAACAAAGCTGGGGGCTAGACTGCAACTACGCTGTACCTTGCAATGTAACAAAGGGCAAGACAAAGTTTCTCAACATCACACGACTGAAACGGACGGCTTGAATGGGGCACCCTCTCCTGCGGCGAGCTTGGGAAGCAGGACGGTGTCGATGCTGTGCACCACGCCATTACCGACGGTGGCATCGGGGAGCACCACAGTGGCATCGTTGACGGTTATAGCACCTGCTGCGGGAAAGGAAAGCTCCAGTCAGCTGCGCCGCATTAGCCAAGCTTGACACGCACCTCCATTTGGGAAAATATGACGCAATCTTGGCAAAACTCACAACGGTGTAAGAGGAGACTACAGTCGACTTCAACTAAGGGGGGACACAACCCCAAAAAAAAACAAATTCTGCAAAAAAAAACTTGATTTTGAGAAATGTCATATTTACATCCACCAACATCTAGAGAGTATTCCCGGAAAGTTTCATTAGATTGCACTGCATTGTTAATTTTTTATAAATTATTTTCGGTCTACCGATGCTAAAGAAAAGGTAGAGGTTGGAGCACTTTGAACACATTTTTCTCCACCAACATCTAGAGAGTATTCCCGGAAAGTTTCATTAGATTGCACTGCATTGTTAATTTTTTATAAATTATTTTCGGTCTACCGATGCTAAAGAAAAGGTAGAGGTTGGAGCACTTTGAACACATTTTTCTCCATTCCACTTTTTGGCGTAAATTTCACTTTAGGAAAGCTATCGTTTTGTTATTATGTAACATGGGTTCATTTTTATAAGTTTTTCTGGGGTGAAATTTGAAGGTGAAGCTAGTTATGATCTTGTATTTTTTTATTTTTGTCATTTTTTATGCTCAAGAACTAAAATTTTGGACAAAAGATAGAAATCTAAAAAACAATGTGTTTATGTGGATTTTTGTCATGAAAGGTGGTATAATATAAAAATAAAGCTCTATAGCTACCTGCGCTGAACTGTCCAAAAGCAATATAACACATGGAAACAACAAATTTATAAGTATTTTCAAAACGATAGTTTTCCTATGCAGACACGCCCACTTTCATCTTTGAACATTTGCAATTTCTTTTTATACTTCACCCAGGTTAATAAAATTTGGCAGAAATGTTCTCAACATCAACCGAAACAAGCCCTGTAAATATCGTTTAAATCGGACAAGTAGTTCAAACATTCACATTTTTGGGTTGTGTCCCCCCTTAATTTGACCTTGACGGAACACGCGAAATTGGGTCCAATTATTCGAAAATCGAATTAAAAGAAGCGCACGAAATGTTGAATATCCAACACTTTAGGTCAGGTGGGCTAACATTTTTATAACAATCTGCCGCAGGGCAGTGGCCGTGTATGTCCTTCGCATGTTTGGCAGTGCCAGCGGTGACCGGCGAACAAACCACACCGCGCTGCTGGCAACGAGGCACACGTCACCGTTGCACGTGTCACGTCATCGGCGGCCCTCCCTCACAAACAACCAATCAGTGCTCGCTGCAGCGGTGTAGCAACGGTTGTTTTCTGTTGAACCCACCTGATTGTGTCCCGTGCCTCAACGGGTGCTCTCTTTTTCTTTCTTTTTGCAATGCTACGTGCACATTAAAATTTTAAGACTTTTCTTTCGTTGACGGGCGCAGTTGATCGCACTTGTAACTTGCCCACCGCATAATTCAGAAAACAAAAGGCCCGATTTTGTGCATCACGCATGGCCCATCGTGCCTCTAATTTCATTCGACCACAGCCGGTTCTCTCCAAGTCAAATTAACCAATATTTTCTGTTCCAAGATCGAAATAACAAGTTTTTTTTTTATAATAGAAATGTATGGGCTTTCGTCGGGACCTTCGAACAGGGTCGAATTAAATGACAAGTTGAATTAACCGAGGTCGAATTAATGCGAGTCGACTATATTGTCCATCGTAAGATTTACCGGCACGCTCACCTAACTCGCACGCTCTCCTTCATTGAGCAAGAAAGCTTGTAGGCGCCTTTTACCTGCCCAATTGCACAAATGTCGAGAGAGAGGCTAGAAAGATGGGGCTTCCTGACTGTTCCTCATAATGGTTACGTACCCCACCAGGTAAAAAAATTAGAGGATTTCTGGACTGTAGCATTGACCTGGAGGAAGTCCAATGAACCCAAGCTGTAACAAGTTTAGTGAACGATAGAAGCCGCTGGACCGACTAGTGTTTAAAAATGTAATTTTACACAATGCCAGCCTCGAGACCAAAGCATGTGGGTAAGCCCGTTCACAGCCGCGAGACACTTGCAAGCCATATTTTCAAAAAAAGCCGACGTCTTTGTACCATTTAAGCCCTCAATAAGAAAAATCCGCTCATCCGGTTAAACGACAAGAAGGTAATGATGAAAAATAATCTGCTCATACGTGAATGACAAACACTGAATTCACATCTCAAAATATTGAAGATTAAAATTGGACCTCGGCAACGAGTCCAGGAGCAATTAACAGTTCTTTCGGCCGTGCCGAAATTTCTATGCACGGTGCTTCTACAGTCAGACTTCTACGTAAAACACCGAACACGTACCCATATCGAAATAGGTGCCCGTCGACTACCCATGAAAAGCAAGCAAAGGACATGACAAGTACCTGCCCCAGACTTTTGAGCCCACCTATTGTCAGTGACACACTAAGAATTCAGTGGAGCCTCCAGCCTCCAGCCGGTGCTTGTTTCCTTTCATCGGGCTTTGGCCGCGTGTGCCAAGAACTGTTACCAAAGGCAGAAAGCTCAAATGAAGGCGAAACACACATTGAATTCTTAGCCCGTCCCCGATTATACGCGTACTCCTTCACCCTTAAGCCAAGACTGCAGCCAAGGCTACAAGTGCGAGCTAGCCCGCGCTCCTTGCCTCGAGACGAGCCTTTCTAGCACAAGCACTCGTCTGCAAAAGAATGTTCCAAAGCTGGGGTCTCGCGCTCTCGTGGTCTTAGCCTCGGCTGCAATCTTAGCACGAGGGTGAGTGGAGTACCATGGCTAACTGAGATGCTCCTCCGTGCGAACAGTTTCTCCGAGCGTGGCGATGCAAAAGGGTGGAGCTCACCCCATCACGTGCCACATCTGCATTTTTGCATTGGCACCTAACAAACGCCCGTTCCCCGCTACTTCAGGTTACCCCCCATCATTGAGTAGGTGCTTGCTGAATAGTGTATGGTAATCGATCGGCTCAACTGGACTGCTAGCTCGCTCGTTGAGCATCCTTAACGCACTGTGCTGCCTCCGAGCCAACGTAAACAGAACATCTCGGGTCAGTTTTGCGTCATTAAAAACGCCTCGAGATGATTGAACGAGATGCTGGACGGATTTATAGCGGGCAACGTTATTACATCAGCTCGGTTGCGTAACTCCCGCGGACGAAGGTACTCCCCTCTCACCTATCAATTGAAGCCCCATTTAGAGGCTGCATTTCAAAACTGTATTCTTTGGAGATGCTACGCTGAAGCACCACCTGGACACCGTGCTCCGAAACCTGCGTAGCTGTAGTTATCGCAGCAATGGAATGCTGACTGTAGGGGGAAAAGGGTAAGTACTATGGGCAGGTCCGTAACCGAGTTTATCTAATAACGTTGATAGCGGGCCTTTTCCAGGAATGTCTTGTGACCACGGGAGAAGTGCTGAACACATTGCTCACTGTTCACGTCCACGGTCAGCTTCTGTCCTTGGAGGGTCTTGAGCTGGCCGGGACTCAGCCCAGCGGCGTACCACACGTCCGGGACCACATGGTACAGGAGAACCTCTGTGGAAAAAAGGCCAATTTGATGCATGTCGGAGTCGTTGGTCTCTTTGTTTGCTAAGAGACCGAAATTTGTAAGGGGTCTTTGTTTTTGGAGTTATTTCAGAGTAGGTGGTTTCGAAAGAGGAATTCTCAAGGTAATGAATGGGTTTTAAAAAGAATTTAGTATCTTGTGAAGAAATTTTTTTTTAGCTATGATTACTATATTAAAAAAACTGGAACTCAAATGTTTTCAGAGCGCTAAATTCTAAATATTGCATACTTTTTCTTAAAATTATTTGGCTATAACTAGAAAGAACCTGCAGGTGGTTTTGTGCACTTTTTTGTAATATTTTGCTAATAAAATAATTCACCACGTTTTCGGCACTTTTAGTGATATTATTCTGCCATGAAAATAGTTTGTCAAGTTTTTGGCACCTAAAAAGTGAGATCAAGAAGGTTAGAGACTAAGGGCAACACTGTAATATGCGCACAGCTGTCGAAGGCAGGGACCTTCACGAGTCATTAGCCTGAAGGACATTGTCATGCAAGCATTTGGAGCAGCACTGTACAAGAGTTTCTGTGACCACAAGTACAAGCACTTCAGCAGTTTTATGATTGGCCTGTAACCAGAGAAGAGCAAACATAAATTTTGAGCCGAACTCTGCAAATCTGGAACAAACCTTGATATGATTCGGCAGGATCATGGTAAAAAAGCAGCCAGTTGTGCAATGGGTTTTGAGTTGCGCTCGCGCTTCAATGGCAGAACATCGTCGGGGAAGGTTACCCTAACTTCTTTTTTGCGCTACAAAGCAAGTCTCGGAAATTTTTAATCACACCTTGTAAAAGAAAGGCACTCCAGAGAATAGAAATATGCACGATTAAACATTATGACACTATATGCAATCATATTTTATTTATTATTGCGCACATTCGTGGTATTATAAAAAAACAAGTTGAATAAAACAAAACTTATAAAGGAGGGACATTCACAAGTACAGTTGAACCTCGATTTAACGAAGTCACCGGGACCCGCTAACTATTTCGTTAAATCGGGAACTTCGTAAAATCGAGGAAGGCTGCGCGGAGAATCCGAATTTGTTTGTTAAATCGGGAAATTCGTAATTGTGGCTTCTTTAAATTGAGGTTCAACTGTACCATGTTTCCCAATTTTCGTCACTAGACTGGTTGCAATCCTTTTTGTTTTTATTTCGAAGAGAGAAAACACGCCTCGACCCACGACCTCAATGCTATAAAGCCACAATGTTGGGTACTGCACCCAACAAACACATAACACACATTCACACAAAAACTGAACTTCTCTACAGGAGCTGATATGGACTAGGGTAGCGTTAAAGGAACATTGAACAAGGTAGCCTATGGGGACACTTGCTATTACAACCTTTGTTTTGTTTTTATTATGAGCCAATTTCACTGAAACTTGTTACGTATATGTATTTCCTGGTGCCGACTCCAAATTTGTAATTAGGTTTCAAATAGCCGTACGAGATCAGGAGATATAAATATGTTTGTCAACATATTTCAAGCATTTCTTGCGGGGCTTTAAAGGGGCACTGACACCCCAAAGGTCGTATTCTTTTTTATTGTCTAAAACGATGCAAGTTGTAGTCATAGACACGCAAAAAAAATCGCATCGCAAAAAAAAATTTTCTTGCGCGCGCGCGCGCCTTTTTATTTTTGTTGTTTATATTTCCCGCGCTAACCTCCTCGCTTCTTTTGATCGGTGACGTCAAAAATCAGGAAATTTAGAAGCTTTGTAGGCGACATTTCTATAACATTTAATAACGGCAATCGTAAAACATGTTTTTTAACGCAATGACGAACGCACTACAGCCTTTCTTTTTGAAATACCAAAAATCAGATTTCGGTGTGATGTCGCTTCCTGAATTTGTGTTCTCCCTCGGAAACCTTGGCGGCGCTCGAGCAGAGGCTTATCGCCGAGTCGGGGAAGACCGGTTTTTCCCCGCGTCGGCTCCCTTCTATCCCGCCTGCTCACCTCCTCCTCTCTTCGGGTCGCGGTAGCAACGGCGCTTTGCTTCACAGCGTGGTGCGGAGGTCCGAAAGAAAGTCGAGTCGCAGGAGACCGCAAAATTTGACTCACTGCGCTGGCGCGGATCGCGCGGGAACTTCAAATTCGGCATTTGGAAATTGTTTTTTTAATTCACAAATACTGAATTCCCAAGTTTCGAATTTTGAGGGTAATGTCCCGGCATCATTTTCAATCGTTTCGGATAATAAAATAAATTACGATTTTGATGTGTCAGTGCCCCTTTAAGGTAATTTCGCTGCGTCAGACATGAAAACAAAATGCATAACCATGATGCCAGACATTGTTTTTGTGTCCTGCATACACTTTTTTATTTTGTCTTTGGTTTTTGTGCGCTGCGTTGATCTTGCAAAACTTAGAACCATAAATGCTGAAAAAAAATAAGAAGAAAATCCCGACGACGTTTTAACAAAATAATAGTATGAGAGGAAAGAAGGATCGTCCAGCATCCAACTTTCTTCATATTTCTACACAATGATCAAAACCTTAAAATATTATAATTCTGAACAGTACTTGTATACAACCAAATATAGTCTACAAACCTCGATATAGTGAGCTCAGCTCTTGCATTCAGGCTTTTTTGTGCTAAAGTTTATTACCTTTCAGAGCAGTGAGGTTGTTCTTCAGGTCATTCACCAGATCTGGGCTCAGCTTTGCAAAGGCACTGTCGGTTGGAGCAAAGACGGTGAAAGGTCCGTCGGCTGAAAAGGATACACATTATTAGAGTAGGCTGGTAAACTTCTTTACAGGAGCTGTTCACCATGCTGCTAAATGCTGCATCATCATCCAGTAGTGTCGTCTTAAAGGGATGGTGAACCGAAATTTGGATTAAAAAAAAACTATGCTGGAGATGTAGGCGGGACGCTACAATCCCTACAGCACTACTACTAAGGCGATATCTCAAATGGACGGCCATATTTTTGGAAAATGAAGTCGAGATTGAACCAGGCCGACGAGGCGTGTGACCGTGAAGATATCTAGTTTCCTCCTCTCTTCGCTTCGCTCCCTCAAGGCCGCGAGGCGGAAAAGACGCGAGACCGTTCCCTCTCCTTCTCGGAGAAACATGACGTCAACATTCCTGCCAAATGCGCCTCTCTTTTTGAAAAATACGGTCATCCGTTCGAGATATCGCTGTATGAGTGATGTTTTGGTGTTTGTAGCATCCCGTTGCACGCTTTTTCCGCATGTTTTGGGGAATCCAGATTTCGGTTCAGCATCCCTTTAACTAGAGGTGAGCGAATATTCTAAATCTCGAATAATGCATGAGTCGTGTTTGCTATCCGATTCTATATGCGGCACACTTTTACCGTTCAAAGTGTTCGGAGTTCTTCAAATATTTCTCAAATATAAATATCTGAGAGTTACGAATGATGCCTTCAGAATTCTCGGATTTCTTGGCCTCAAGCTTTACTGTTTTGTACTGCTGCCCTGCCACCGAGCTTTGCCACTTTGCAGTGTGCGTCAACGTCCACTATTTTGTGCCCGTCCGCTAGGGGAACTGGCTGGCGCTTAAAGGGGCGATGCAATGATTCTCGTACTTTGCACGAATACCGTTTAAAACAGATCCCTGATGTTAATGACCTGTGAAACACGTGTTCGTTTTTCACCCCATGCAATGCAATAGAAGTTCCAATAAAAAATGAAAGAAAAACGAGCAGCGTTCATCCCCTCAACTCGCAGCCAGAGCAAGGGGCCACGTGGCCTGGAGCCGATTATATGCCGCCAGTGTTGATCATGGCCACGCGCTGGGGTTGGCAAGGCACAGGACACGCGCTGAGTTCCAGACATTGTTATGATTAGGCTATTGTCATTTCAGCGATTGGACATGGGCCACTACCCGGATGCTTCTCGAACTATCGCTTACCACAAGCCCAAATCAAGTGCCCACGCAATGCTCGGGTCCAATCTATGAACCGCATTCAAATATCGTCATTGGGATGTACTACGATCCCCACGTTACGTCATCAAACTTTGCAAAGGAGAGATTGAATAAAAATGACCGCTTTTGTCTTTGAAATTACACCGTAACGAAGGAGTTTCTTGGCCAGTGGCATTGCATGCGAGTATCCTTGAGTCCCACTAGTGCCAGAAACTGTTGTAAAGTGAAAAACATTTCAACTGAATATCGTTGCACCGCCCCCTTAACAGCATCTTGGTAGGCTAGTAGATGGTCTCAGAACTTTCGCTCACTATTGGAAGTCGGCCTTCTCTGGTAAAAATTATAGTTCAACCCCTGGTTTTAAAGGACAGTGCCAGAAAAGAAAACCTCAAGCTATATTCAATGATAGAAATGGCATTTGTCATTTTGTAGCAGGTCTGGTAGCGGGCAAAATGTTGGTCTGGAGCAGCTACTGATGCTTTTGGAACAGGTGCCAAAATATGTTAGCACATTACTTGAATATGACAGAATAAAGCTTGTGGACAGCCCATATTTGATGATGACTAAAGGTAAAATTGTTTTTATAAAACATATAAATTAAAAAAAAAAGATACATAAATATAGCCATAGAAAAAAGCTTTTTTGAGAGAAGGCTCGGGTCCAAATTGGTTCCGCTTAAAATAGGTATATAAATTAATAAATGATTGAAATGTCCACTTCTCAAACAGATCAAAAGCTTCTTCATGTACACCAAGTGCAAGATTAAAGTTTCAATAACGCATCTTCCCCACCCCCCCATCCCACCCATATTTTTGTAAAATTGCAGCGAAAGCCAGCACATTCCCTAAAATGTATATGGATGAAAATTAATTTGCCTAATTTGTATGGAAACTGTGTAAACAACCACCCACAAAAGATGTGAAAATTTACATATGTGCCTCATACTAACATTGCACGTTACTTTGCACGTTTAGCAGCGTTGGAGCCAAGTTCAGTCAGAGTTCAGTGACCTGTCGACAACTGATGCATAGGAGCTAAGTTGATTATCCTACTTATTAGGATAAAGGTCTATATTTGTGCTCGCCTTTTTACAAACTTCTGAAGTGTCGGTCGAACTGTGTTACAGCTAAGCATAATTTACGAGCCCATCGAAATAATGCAAATGCTCTCGTGCATCAGTTGCAGCTACTAGTAGCAAAGCAGTAAAGCTCGACCCACGTACTCCAATACAAGGCAAAGAAGCTTGACGTGCGCCGCACGGTACGAGTCTTTCTGAAATGTCTTTGACACCCGCACTTACTACTTGCATGATTGGACCAAATTGAACTGAAGGGAAGCAATTTAATATTAGGTTTAACAGTATAGACCACTTACAACGTAACCGCTTATAGTGCAGGACTGGGTATAACGCGGCTTTTTTAAACCACCGGTTCGCCTCCTATAGAACTCCATGTAATTACATACAGCCTAAAATGCGGGCGCGCGAAGGGAAATACCGGTTATAGTGCGGTTTCTGGAACAGCCCGCCGACCGCACGCTTCCCTACGCGACACTAGATAACGGCGCCAGCCGCGAGCCGCACTCGCAAGGCAAGGAAGTTGCTCGAAGAAGCGGGCAGAAGCGAAAAGGGAGGCTTCAGTTGCCATAGCGACGGAGGGACGCATGCACGTGTCGTTCACGTGCGTGCGTCCCTCCGCTGCATTGGAAACAACCGCAACAACAGACCAATCGCAGGTCGAGGAGAAGTGTTCGCGCGCGTTGCATGCCGGTCGCGGTCCGGCTGCTTCTATCCACAAACATGGCGTCGGTTGTGATCGTCGCTCATCGTTCCGCGTAAAAGCGCTATCCTTGACAGTGAATTTTCGTTGTGTGTCGCTATGATAACCCAGCACGTACTAGAAGGAAAGATCCGCCTACTCGTGCGGCGATGTTGTGGCGGCACTCTCAAAACGGCAGAAACGCCCGTGTCGTCGTGTTTGTTTACTTCGACTACAGTGGTGCTTTCTAAGCATTTGTGTTTTCAAACATCGCCCGGATTTCTTATTTGGAACATTTCGTGCCTGTGCTCAAGTTGAAGGTATTACTGGCGCGTACCGTATAAAGGATGCGAATTTTCACGGGTTTTCATCGCCGGAGAAAAGTGATTAGGGTTAGCAATCCTGACGTTAGCAACGTCCGTCCGCAACCCGCGACGCCGTTAAAAGGCTGCGCCAGGCGAAAGTCGCTCATTTCTTTCAAAATGTGTGACACACTTGAGAGAGAAGTGTTTTACAAAGGTAAGTTGTCTGATGGCATGTATTTTGGCCTGAAAAATTGATGTTTCGGTTATAGAGTGGTACCGCTTATAGTGCGGATTTTCGCGACTCCCGCGACATACGTTATATGCGGTCTACACTGTAATCGTGGTTTGTGTGGCACCACACACACTCCTACACGAGGACCTTCTTTTCCCTTTCTTGCATCACTCAAGTTCATCTTGACGCAACTATGGCACAACTCTTCACAAAAATGGTATATTGGCGCGATGTGTAGCAGGCTCGCATTCATGGCGCAGTTTGGCGCAGCGTTTCGATCGCAGTATGTTCCAATGAATATGCTTTGCTCGCAATGCTTCATCATGTTTCATTCCACTTATCTTATCAGGGCTATAGAAGCCCTGATAGAAGTATGTGAAATACTTCTCACATAACAGAACAGTTCCTTTTTATGAGCATGTTTCATAGAAAAGTTTCTTAGCCATGATTGAAAGTTGTACAAGTTCACTTCACATTAAATGTAAAATATTCCCATTCTAAAATATTAAAATTCGATTCGCCCAATACTGATTCTAACGTACACTGGGTGCTTCAGTGAAGATATTTAAAAATCACTAAAAATAAGGTGAGAGAAAAACATACTCCTTCTGGGAACAAACTGCCAGCCACAGCGGACATCAGAGATTGCAAAAAAACATACTAATTAACTAATAAATTTGCTCAAATTTACTAAAATAATTTACAAAAAAAAGATGTGTGGTTTTATGCAGAAACTTTCTGAGCAACATCGAAAACCAATCAATCAATTCATTTTAGAAAAAATATACGACAGGCTCTGTATTTTACGACATTCCCAACAAAAAAACGCTCAATTCGGACATATCTATAGTTTTCCCTTTCCTGTTGGAGCGCATCTTTCTGCCAACGGTCCTGCCCCCCGTGGCCGGAAAGCGAAGCCACCGCCTCGCCTCCCTTTTTAAGTGTGGAAAGAAGTATGGCGCACGTGCGTTGTGCATTTAAGCCATCATGGGGCAGGACCGCTGGCACAAATATGGGCTCCAATAAGAAACCGAATCCTAAAAACGCGTCCAAAAAGCGTTTTTTAAGGAACATCGTAACATGCTGCACCTGCCTTAAATCTTTCTCACATAAGTTGACTTGGTGGTTTTCGATAATGCTCAGCAGGTTCCTAATTGGAATTTACTAATCATCTTTTCAATTAGTGAAGATAAATATGTTCACCATATAAAAAGACTATTAGTAAATTTTAGTTAATTATTAAGCTAATTAGTATGTTTTTTGCAATCGTAGACGGCCGCCGTAGCTAACAGTTTGTTCCCAAGTTTTTTTGTTTTTTTTCCAATTACTTTTCTTGGGGGGGGATTATGAAAATCTTTGCTAAAACAACCGGTATACAAGGTGTTCTGAAAAGAAGTACTCACTGCAATAGGGGTCGGAAAACTTGGCACCTTCACATATCAAGCACCTATTTTCATTAAAGGTTTGATTTAGACACATATTTTACCTTGCAAAATTTTAAGGCATAGCTCTTTTTGCTGTAAAAAACTAAAACAAGATCCTTGACGTTTCCAAGGGCGGGCACCAATGCAGATGACCGATTCAAACGAGAGCCGTGTTTTGGCGCCACCTCCTAATACATGCAGCAACCACTCAGACGAAAGCAGACGACAGAGTAATCGTCATTTGCTCGTACTACAGTGGCTTAAAGGGGGTAGTGTAGTTACCGCGTAGCCCCCACCATGCATTGGGAACAGCCATTCCTTGGAAGATGGTGTAGGTGGCGGTTCGATCCGCAGCTTCGTTAGGGTGCCTCCATCGGCTGGCAGAAAGAAGCACCCTAACATGCTTCATAACTAGTATAAATACCTCAAAAACAATTTTTTGTTTCCAGTGAACTTCCAATGACATGGTTTGTGTTTGTAGGTGAATAAAAATGTAAAACTAGCAGACGACAGTGTAGAGTCGACGGCTGCAAATCGATCGGAGCTGGCCGGAGCCAAGCTGGCCAAGCGGCCAAGCCGGAGCCAAGCGGCCAAGCCAGAGCCATAGCCGGAACGACGGTGCTGCAAGCGCCAGCGCCACCCGCGGCCGTCTTCCAACGCTGTGCCGCCTCTCCGGTTTCGTTCGTTACACTACCCCTTTAAGCCACTGTACTCTTACATCTCTCTGCTCATATCCCAGGCAACGTTTGGTGCAAGCTCCCACAGGTGACAAAAGTGAAGCCAAGGAAAAGCTGCCAGACTGCTCATGTTAGAAACAGCCTCAGCTTCTCCCTGTAAACTCCCATTTCCATCCATATTCTCTCCATATTCCTTTATATTCTCAACAAACTTGTCTGCATTATTGCATCAGCCAATTCGACAAATATAGAAGACCAATCTGTGACGGATAAAATGCAAACATCTCTGACAATGATTTACAGCTTTATTTCATGAGAAAATGGCAGATGACAACTTCAGTCGTTTGACTTACATCGCGGCAACAGTCCTGGTGTTCAGATAACGACAAAGAAAATGCTAAAATTTTGCTGCTCTGCACTTCTTTTTAACACAAAAGTACTTGCCTAAATATTCTCAATATAATATTAGCAGTCTTAGCCTCTTGAAGCTCCTTGCAACAAATTTAAACAAGAAAAACTAAAATCATCCATAGTTTCTTTTCAAACGATATAGTGGTTGCTTTTTGCTGTTTATGGTTCTCTTCTACTGTGCAACAAAATTAGAAATCTGCACACACACGTCAATCAGTGAACCGACAACGCTAAATTTCATTGCAAGCTTTGTTACCGTCGGCCGCATTATTTAAGCGAAGCAACCTACCGTTCAGATCATTGTAGAGGTCTGTCATGTTGATGAACGAGTTGAGAATGCCGAAGCAGGGGCAGCGCTGCAGTTCAAAGGCCGCATTGCCCTTGTACAGGGAACACATCACCCCAGACAGGACGTGCAGTATGCCGTTCGAGGCACGGTTGTCCGGAGCAGACACAATCCTTCCAGACGCAGTTATTTCCTGGCCAGAAGAGGGGTGCAATCAGATTCAAGTTCTTTATCTTTTTTATTTTGGAAAGGGGAGGCAGAGAAGTACAGGAGGATGCTTAAGCCTTGCCTTTAAGAGTGGATTGCGATAGCTAAACACATGAATTCCCACTTGTTCCCAAGCAAATGTCTCCGCGTCACCTGGTCAGTAGCGTGTCTGGCTAGCAACTGAAGGGTCGTGGGTTCACATCCCGCCTAATATTCTTCGAATTCTTTTTTTTAAGATACATGAATTACTCCATAAAGTGAAATCATTTGAGACATGCAGCAACCTTTAATTCCATTACATGTCACGTTTCAATCACTATCATTTCACGCATGACGTCACATTTCATGCGAGCAGTGTGGGTTATTTGAAATTCCTGCGCGAGGTCATGTGGCTTTGACGTCATGACCCTATTGACCAATCAGGATTTTCCCGTCGCGCCAGCGACGCCAGACTTTCTACGACACGAGCTTCTGAAAGCTATCGCTTTAAAAAGCAACTCGGATGTTGACTGACGAGCCTCCGACTCCCCCAAGGCAGCGGAGACAGCAACGCATGAATATGCGAGGTGTCCTAAATAGTATCTCCTAGCGTTTCTCCTCACCACTACTTTCGAGATCCCAGAAACCACCCGAATACCAGCAGTTTAATTAAGAGCCACGATGCCTTAGAGGGCAACTCCAATAAAAAATTGAAATGAAACAAATGCCCTATCTCGCTTTAGCGAGGCACAGTACGACCACAGACATTTGTTTTACCGCTAATGCCAAAGTACACTGTGGAAGGGGAGCTGCGATCCCTACTAAAACAGACGTCAAAAAGGTTATCACCAGCTTCTCAGCGGTTTAGCTGTTGCTGAAGCAACACTCGGCAACGCATTGCTCTCCGACGCCACTTTTGTCAAGCCGCGTTTATTCTCCCGTGCCTTTCGCAGCTGTATCCATGGACGATTAGTACTTCTTATTGCATTTCCACTGATGTGGTTGGCCTAAGTCAGGGGTCTCCAAACCATTTGGCTAAGCGGCCAGATTGGAGATCTGTGGCATTATCGTGGGCCAGAAAATCAATAAGCAAATATAAACGAGCAAGCATATATTTGAAAATAAATATTTAGCTAATGATGACGTTATGCAATAATTGGGAACTAGAATACTCACCGGGCATAAATCAAAGCACATAGGAACTTTGGCATGTTCACACAGGGAAGAAGATTAAAGAGAATGATAGTACTAATGTGGACAATGTGTAATAGATGTGACACGCGACACTAAGCACACTACACAGGGAGTTCTCAAGGAAAGAGAACAGTGTTTTTGACCCGGTTAAATGAACTATGCATCACAGAAAGCTCAAGCTCCGTGAGAATGTGACGCTCGCGGTTGGGAGCGCAAACGTTTGAGAACATGATGCTACCTGGATCAAAAGACAACTGAGAAAATAATAAATTTCTCTAGGAGCCGACGTCCACCTAACCCTAACATTGTCAGAACAGAACTTGACATTGTGAACGCTTGTCGGATTTATATCAGTGGAAAACACCTGTCAGCAAGCAAAAAGAAATTGTTTTATTTCTTGCTAACAATTTTATTTCACTGAAATAGATGGTACAGGTGCCTACAATATTGTTTCCTGTTTTGACGATATTAGGCTTGAATGGATGTCGGCCTTAGAGGAATTTAGTTCTTCCTCCGTTACCTCTTGATCCAGGTAATGTCATGCTGCCAAACTTTTGCGTTCCTGCCCAACCGCTAGCGTCACATTCTCACAGTGCTGCTCAAGCTTTCTGCGATGCATAGTTTAATTACCCTGGCCAAGAAACACGGTTTTCTTTTCTCGGGAACTCCCTGCAGATGGGAATGCGAGGACATTTTAATATACATTGCTACCCAGATATAAAACGGGGAACTCAGAATAGTGATGCTGCTGATGACAATGTCCAATGAATAATAAAATGAGAGGACCCTCATTGCAAAAGCAGTTTTCTCTCGTTTTTATTTTGTTTTCTGGTATCTTTCTTTCACAGTTGGAGCGCCTTGTGGTGCCGTTTTTTTCATGTGCACTTATTTTTTCTCCGGTAGCAGGGGGCTTGCTGGGAGCGGGCCGAGGGCCGGGCTTCATTGGAAGGGCCACACCCAGTCACGGGCCGATCGAAAGACATCCGCGGCCCGGATTTGGCCCGCGGGGCCGGGGTTTAGAAAACCCCTGGTGTATGTCATTTTGGAGCACCTTTCGAAGCAGCAAAAAGTATTTTTGGAGCATAAGTACACATTTAATTTTCATTCATAAGAGTTTGGTTAAGACTCGTGTTCAAAGGGGCGGTGCAGTGTTTCTCATACTTTGGCCAATCAACTTGCAGGAATTAATCTGCATGCGTGCCAGAAAACCATGTTTTCTGGCACGCCCTAGTTTTTATTCGAAAAAATCAAAGCATATCGAACGTCGAAGTGCACCTCAACCCTCCACGTTGCCTTTTGAGTGACGTACTCTGAGGGATCACATGGTTTCCCATTGGGTTCTCTCTTCAGAGACCCCAGCTGCATATTCCGCGATTGTCGACCTTTCAAGGATTAGCGTCGTTGAAGTTTGCAGCGAGCGATCGACACAAAAGACAGTTTGCCACGGGGCTGACGGTGAGGGTAGCAGTGGAGGAGGGCAGGTTTTGTTCACTTCCGGACGTCCCCCGCAAACGTGACACCGTAGTTCCCGTAACCGCCGCATGCGGCTGCAGATTGGCAAATACAGTAAAACCTCGTTATAACAGAATGGGATATAACAAACTAATGGATATAACAAAGCAATCATAATTCCCCTTGCTTGCTAATTGTGAGAAGAAATGGACATTGGCTATAACAAGCTAGTGGCTATAACGAAATAATTACGACCGCTCCTTCAACTTTGTTATAACGGGGTTTTACTGTAATTTGTTTTTTCCTTCGCGATTAAGCAGTGGAATAGCAGTTTTTCGGTGCAAGGTGGCACATTTTTTTTTGTCACTTGTACCTAGATAAACAATATAACAAATACAAACTGCAAATTATTTTAACGTAAATATTGTTGCACTACCCCTTTTAAGTCTACTTTGCCTTCTTCTCCTGTGCAACCTTTCGATGGCATCAACAGCAGGGCAGGTTTGACTCCCGAGCTAGCAGTTTAATTGCACGTAGAATCACAAGGCACGGTAACAAGATGCTGATTGATATAGAGCAGAACAAACTTTTATGCATGCTTATTTTAGGTACACAGTCAAACAAATTTCGAGTACCCAAACTTAAAATCATCACAAAAATCAGCATATAAACAATAAATATGCTTAAAAAAAAAAAAAAAAGAAGAATTATGCTGAATCTGTTTGCCGTAGAATACCGCGCATCTGCCCATTCCACATTAAGCACCCATCCCCAAATTTGTAAGATCTGAGAAAATACGCACAGTACATTTATATGTAGAATTGATGACCGGACAAGCGCCCATCCCCCATTTTTTGTGATTATCGTGGGCGCTTGCCCGGTATTTTACGGTAGGTTATTCTCAGGCTTGCATTTAGTGCTCCAGCTACTGTCCCATCGAACGGATGGAACCTCATAAAGGTAATAACTAAACATGAGTTTGCATAAAATATAAACGAATCGAGCAGTCCAGAAATGTTTTCTTGCAGTACTCAAGTACGGTATCCTTGATGAACTTTGAATGTGAAAAAGATATTGTCAGAATGTTGCAGTATATCATATATACTATACACAGTTTTCTTCAGAAACGGTGTCTAACGTCCTGCTCTGGAGTGCTTTCCCGTCAGCACACGGAGTGCTGTGGCGAAACAAGATGTGCAAAATTCCAACGCCTACAATGCGGTTGTCGCTTCACTGCAGCACACCACTGTGCAGTGACAAACGCACTGAATGATGCTATTTATCCAGCCAGAACAGACAGTGAGCACGAGAAGTACTGCAAAACTTCCAAGTTCTGCCAATGTTTGATAGAGAGATCAAATAGAATATGATGTTATATGAGGCGATAATCAAAAGTTCTGGAGATTCGCGCAAGCCTACTGTACTAATTTGGCCGTGTAGCGGTGCCCGATTTATTATGTAGTCAGTATTCACAATGTGAACATAAGCTTTGGCACAATGTTGGTGAAAATTCCTCACATTTTGGCAGAATGTAGCAGGATGAAGCAGGGTAAGCACTTTGGCACAGTTAGGCTCAAGTGGTGCAGCAATCACATCACTGGCAATGTGTTGCGCTCCGACATCACATTCGTAGAGCCATTTCTTCCCCCGTGCCTTTTGCTGCCGTCTCCAGCGACAGTTAGTACTTTGTATTGAGTTTCCAGTGATGCGATTTGTCCAAGCCATTTTGAAACCCCTTTTGGAGCAGCGAAAAGTACTTTTGGAGCATAATTACACATTTCATTTTCATTCATGCCAATGCAAATATCATATTAAAATGTATGTGCTTCTCTCTACTTTGGCTTCCTACTTCTGTGCAAGCTTAAAGGGGCACTGACACATCAAAATCATATTTTTTTTTTATTATCCGGAACAATTGAAAACGATGCCGGGACATTACCCTCAAAATTAGAAACTTGGGAATTCAGTATTTGTGAAGTAAAAAAACAATTTCCAAATGCCGAATTTGAAGTTCCCGTGCGATCCGCGCCAGTACAGTGACGTCAAATTTCGCGGTCTCCTGCGAGTCAACTTTCTTTTGCACCTCCAAACCGCCGTTGGCCGCTGCCACCGTGACCAGAAGCGAGGAGGTGAGGAGCGCGAGAGTGGGGCGCCGGCGGACCGAGAAAAACCGGGCGCCGCCAAGTTTTCCTAAGGGGGATGTAAATCCAGGAGGCAACATCACACCGGACTTTGATTTTCGGTATTTCAAAAAGAAGGGCCGTAGTGCATTCGCACTTGCGTTAAAAAACATGTTTTGCGATTGCCATTATTAAATGTTATAGAAGTGTCGCCTACAAAGCTTCTAAATTTTATACTTTT